CTTCTCTCGTAGCCGACGCAATCTGGGGCGTTGGTGAGACAGTCTGGGCGGAAGATCTTGACGTTGGCGGTGAAGGCTCTGACAGTGGGCACCTGCACCTTCACCTTCTCCTGGCGCTGGTACCGGCACACCTGAGGCCTAGGGCGCGGCCAGGGGAGATAAACATTCTTAGTTACGTGGTGAGTGAGGACTGGGAGATGATGTCCATGTTGTGGGTGTATATAAGAACAAATTTTATTGAAACTCGCCCCCTAGACATGGAAAAACATTTGAATTTAATTCATATATCCATTTATCGCTCGCGTCATGTAAATGCAATTACCATGTTTAGGGTCTTATGATAAAAGCATATTTGACTTTTAGTGTGGCATTATTAATTCAGTGCTTGGATGTGTAAGTTTAGCATGATGCTTTGACACTCATAAATTGGAATTAATCGTTTGATTCATATTGCGGCCGACCCCAATGACTCATTCATCAATTTTTAACGGTATGTGCGGGTTATATAGTTCAGTGTAGTCAATCGTAATTTTCCCATATGCAAATATTGTTATATATTAGAATTTGGTGTCTAGTTAGGTTTAAATTTTGGTTAGATTAAGTGCTGTTGGCAATTATTTACATCTGTAATACGTGAATGAAGCATTTATACATGTGCGATGCGAACATTGAAAGAAGGCGAAATAATGTTAGACAAAAATGTTTGAATGTCATCAGTTGTGAATGATGTGTGGCGCGCTTTTCATTCATTTATTATGGGCTAGGCTGCTAGATTAGCGCGCACGTGGTCTTTGTTTATGTGAAGGGAGCACGTGGTCTTTGTTTATGTGAAGGGAGCACGTGGTCTTTGTTTGTGTGAAGGGGTTGCGAGCACGTGGTCTTTGTTTATGTGAAGGGGTTGCGAGCACGTGGTCTTTGTTTATGTGAAGGGGGTTGCGAGCACGTGGTCTTTGTTTATGTGAAAGGGTTGCGAGCACGTGGTCTTTGTTTATGTGAAAGGGTTGCGAGCACGTGGTCTTTGTTTATGTGAAAGGGTTGCGAGCACGTGGTCTTTGTTTATGTGAAGGGGTTGCGAGCACATGGTCTTTGTTTATGTGAAGGGGTTGCGAGCACATGGTCTTTGTTTATGTGAAGGGGTTGCGAGCACATGGTCTTTGTTTATGTGAAGGGGTTGCGAGCACGTGGTCTTTGTTTATGTGAAGAGGCTGTGTGGAGGGCAGCCAGCATAGGCCAGCTAGGAACTGATATCTGAGAAAAGTTGCTGCTAGGACACAGAAGCTGATATATGGCATTGCTAGGACCTCACAGGAGCTGACACTTGTGCCAGGCAGGTGTTTGTTGGAGACGAGACACCGGGCAGGTGTTTGTGGGTGGCGAGGACCCGGGCGACCTTTAGCGTAGTCTTATATTGCCTCAAATGTTCATTCGAAGAAGAAAACGCTAAGCCAGAAACAGCATAACGGAATTAATGCCATAACCAACCAACACGTCGTCCTATAGTTGGTTGTAACCATCGTTACAAATGCAGCCTACTATGAAACGTAACACCGGCAAATTTTTTCGTGTTCGATGCATATCGGACTTGATAGGTTAGGTTAGGAGGTTGGTTTTGTTACGGAGTGGCAGGCACATCTAAGAGAAAGGGTTGTACCAATAACCCGCCCTGTTCACATTAACAACATGACGATGGGGACAGTTTGTACAGGCCAGAACAAAGAGGCAAACTGACAGCCCTCCCGTCTGACCCCAATGTTGCCTGCATGTTTCCTGGCGCCAGGCAGCAGCAGCAGCAGCAGCAGCCTGGCTCTCACTCGCGCCTCTCCGCTCCTCTTTATTGCCTTGCCTGAAATTGACTTTCAGCAGGGAATTTTAATGTTGGTTTGTACTTGGTTGCATGCTGTTGACCCGCGGTGTTCAGGGAGCCGGTCGGCCGAGCGGAGAGCACGCTGGACTTGTGATCCTGTGGTCCTGGGTTCGATCCCAGGCGCCGGCGAGAAACAATGGGCAGTTTCTTTCACCCTATGCCCCTGTTACCTAGCAGTAAAATAGGTACCTGGGTGTTAGTCAGCTGTCACGGGCTGCTTCCTGGGGGTGGAGGCCTGGTCGAGGACCGGGCCGCGGGGACACTAAAAGCCCCGAAATCATCTCAAGATAACCTCAAGAAGATCCCTTTGTGTGTATTTTACCTCAATAAACTTATATTAAATTTTTAATTTCAATTTCTGGTGCCTACACTACCTCGGGCCTACTGGAGTGAGGGTGGCGTGACCCATAACTACTTATCCCTACAGTTACACGGTTATCTTGAGGTTATCTTGAGATGATTTCGGGGCTTTTAGTGTCCCCGCGGCCCGGTCCTCGACCAGGCCTCCACCCCCAGGAAGCAGCCCGTGACAGCTGACTAACTCCCAGGTACCTATTTACTGCTAGGTAACAGGGGCATTCAGGGTGAAAGAAACTTTGCCCATTTGTTCCTGCCTCGTGCGGGAATCGAACCCGCGCCACAGAATTACGAGTCCTGCGCGCTATCCACCAGGCTACGAGGCCCCTACGGTGACCCCTACTTAAGGCAGGGGATGGAACCCACACAACAGCGAGCATATAATAACATAGTTTGTAATGCAGAATGTGTACATAGAAAGGGTATATGAACTATTATCATGCTCTGCATGATAATAATTACAGCAGGTATTGATTTAACACCATACACAGTACACGAGCCGGCGTGCACAGAATCTACGTCATCAACGTTGAATCTGCGTCATCAACGTTGAATCTGCGTCATCAACGTTGAATCTGCGTCATCAACGTTGAATCTGCGTCATCAACGTTGAATCTGCGTCATCAACGTTGAATCAACGTCATCAACGTTGAATCTGCGTCATCAACGTTGAATCTGCGTCATCAACGTTGAATCTGCGTCATCAACGTTGAATCAACGCCACTCTTGGCCACTATGACCACTGGTTAAGGACATAAGTCATCAAGGTCACTGAGCAGACAGTTCCACGAAGACTGTCTGGGGCAGAATGACCTCCAACAGCCCTCATAATGATTGCTCCAAATCATCGTCTTGACCTTTGTCGAGGCCGAAACAAATGGGGGCAGAGTTTCTTTTCTTCCCTGATGCCCCTGTTCACCTAGCAGTAAATTGGTACCTGGGAGTTAGACAGCTGCTACGGGCTGCTTTCTGGAGGTGTGTATCCAAAAAAGGAGGCCAAGTCGAGGACCGGGCCGCGTGCAGAACGCCAAGCCGCGAAATCATCTCAAGATAATCTCAAGATAAGATGACCTTGTTGACCTCCCCTCGCCAGTTCCCTCTCCGGAGACCACTTTCATGAATCTTTAATCGAGAGCTTAAAGCTGAAGCTTCAGAGTAACGCTGCTTCAAGCTTTGTCCTCTTCACTGAACTTAAACCACTCTTCTTATTTTTTAAGAAAACTCAACCAATGCCGTAAAAAATGAAGTGGATTATTAACAATTAATGTACCTCAAATTCGACGTTTTTCTAAGTCTCGACATTTGTTCATGTATATTGGAGTAACTGGTGAAGGGGAAATGGCAAGGGATGTTTCAGGCTTGACAGAGGTCTGTCAGGGGTTTGGCAGGTGCTTAGAAGGGGCTTGGCAGGGCCGAGGGGGGGAAAGGTCTACCCAGGGGGCCCCACACTGGACATGGCACAGAGGGCCCCCAGGGGGGGGAGAAGACACACTGAGGGTCCTGATGGCTCCACGTGTAGCAAGAGTTCCTTGGGGGCCCCCATTATGAAGCGGGAAAACAAGAGACAACGACAGCCGAACAGCCAAGCTCCGATAGAGACAGAGAAAGCCCGATACAGTCGATGGAGACAAAGGCTGTCCGTCAGAGAGACAGCCCGACAGAGAGAGAGAGAGACAGCACGACAGAGGGACACAGAGAGAGAGAGACAGCCCGACAGAGGGACAGAGAGAGAGAGAAAGCCCGACAGAGAGACAGACAGCCCGACAGAGGGACAGAGAGAGAGACAGCCCGACAGAGAGAGAGAGACAGCCCGACAGAAACAGCCTACACACACTGTCCATAGTCCCACTTACTACGTAGCCTCAAGACTACCATCTCCTTTACTTGTAGCCTCGGCAGTGATCATGCAGATGACAGTCCTCCAGGCTAACAAATGGGTTTAATTTAAAGTTTTAATGGCGCCTGGCTCGCTCCTGGCACCGCCTCGACCCCCGTTGAGAGACCTCGTTAGGCACAAGTAACTCAGAGCCTATAAGCTTATACACGTGTAGATAGAAATCAGCTTACTTTACATGCAATATCTCAATAGATTTAAGAGAGTTTTCAAGCTCTGTAATTCTCGACCAATGATTGCAGTGCTCAATATGGAACTTGGTGTTCACGGGGACAGGTCTATTGTTTGGTACTGGGTCTTAGTAGCCCTCTCTTTGGGTCAACCCTCCTTTGCTGCTCTCAGCTCGCCATGGCTGCTGTGAGCTACGGTGCGTGTTATGAAGTTTAGAGCACATGCCATGGGGATTGAACGCCGACCTGCATGAAGCGAGACCGTCGCTCTACCGTCCAGCCCAAGTGGTTGGGAGCGTATATACTATAATCGATCTATCTATATAGTTTAGACTCTAGAGCAAATGCTATTGTGATCAGCCGGTCGGCCGAGCGGACAGCACGCTGGACTTGTGATCCTGTGGTCCCGGGTTCGATCCCGGGCGCCGGCGAGAAACAATGGGCAGAGTTTCTTTCACCCTATGCCCCTGTTACCTAGCAGTAAAATAGGTACCTGGGTGTTGGTCAGCTGTCCCGGGCTGCTTCCTGGGGGTGGAGGCCTGGTCGAGGACCGGGCCGCGGGGACACTAAAGCCCCGAAATCATCTCAAGATAACCGAGGAGAAGCTCAGACACCCGCACCCAACACACTCTTCATCACCACAAACAATCCCAAACACACCATTCGACTCTTAGATTACCATAAGAAACATACATCAGATGAAAAAAAAAGCCCATCACTCAGCGGCCAAGATCAAAAGTTGAAATGCTTAATATATTCACTGTTATAAATCAATAATCCTAGCTGTGCTCTCCCCCCCCCCCCGTGGCCATCACCACTCGCACTACGACAGTGTAATTATAGCTCCGCATCG